CGCGCACGCGCACATAAGGCTTTGCTTCTCTCTTGAATACCTCGTGTGATGCCCTTAATACCTTCTCCCTTGTCTCACCTTGGGACTTCCAGGGCATGAAGCTGACCTCAGAGGAGTTCAACGCCATCTTCACATTTTACGACAAGGTAAGAGGGAGGACAGTGCTGGGTGGAAACGCGGGAGGCCCCATCGGAGGCGCCCCCGCCCAGAATGGCTCCACTTGGACCTTAGGAATAGATGAGCTGTGAGAGGGGCAGCGTGGGCCCTGTGGTTTCTTCCTGTCCCTTTGGATGCCCTGCAGCATCTTCTGCTGTGTGGGGAGATAAGTGTCAGTGTAATTCGCGGGCTCGGGGACCCAGGGTGATGGGTCCGTAAAAGGACCAGAGGAGGAGGGTTATTATGCTCAGAGCCAGAGTGTGAATTGGCTGTTGGGGGCCAAAGGGAGGAGGTGCTCAGTACTGCTCCCCTGGTGCCAGGCCGTGATTCCACACGAGAGCCAGTTGTTATTCTAGGAAGTTGGGAGCGAGAGGGTAATACCCATCACCCCTCCCTATAACCACAAATCGGGGTGAAGCTTCAGAAGGCTTCCCGTGTTATTAGGAGATGTGACACTCGGGGACTTAGCTAAGTGATTCCTGAGTCTCACTTATATTTTCCATGCCGATTAAACACATCAGAATGAAAGGCCACCAAAAGCTTGTCCCATCCCTGCGTTGACTGGTAAAGTCAGAAGCAATGTCTTATTTTGGCACCATACGGTCTGAATACCCACTTTTGTGCAGCGTAGAGGGAAGGCTAGACTCCGAGACCTCCCCAGAATGGATGGGGATAAGTGAGATGCAAAGTCAGGGGTCACGGGGCCAGTGGTAGGGCTTTGCACTGATTCTGTGCCCCGCCACCAGGATGGAAGTGGCTACATTGATGAGAATGAGCTGGACGCCCTTCTGAAGGATCTGTATGAGAAAAACAAGAAGGTGAGCGGCTGAGCCCAGAGGCCTGGAGTGACGGGTGGGGGCTTCTGAGCCAGGCTTGAAAGGAATGCCTTGGGGCGCACTCTGCTCCCCTCCGATCAGCCACAACAGGGTAGTAACAGTTTTTAGGTTGTTTTGTTTTGTTTCTGGTTGATTGATTGGTTTATGGGTTTTATTTTTTTTATTATTTAATTACGGTCAAATACAAATAACACAAAGCTTACCGTCTTAACCATACTTCAGCATGCACTATCGAACCGATTTGCAATGAGCTGCAGCCATCACCACCATCCGTCTCCAGACCTCTTCCTCCTTACAAAACTGAAACTCCAGACTCATTAAAGCACCACTCTCCATTCCTCTCTCCCCCGAGTCCCTGGTAACCACCACTCTACTCTCTATCTCTATAAATTTGACAACTCTAGGTACCTCATATAAGTGGGATCATACAGTATTTGTTTTTGTGTGTGACTGGCTTATTTCACTTAGCATAACATCCTCAGGGTGCATCCATCTTGTAGAATGTGTCAGAATATCCTTCCTCTGTAAGGCTGAATAATATTCCACTCTATGTCTATACCATATTTTGTTTATCCATTCGTCCATCCATGGACATTTGGGTCGTTCTACCTGTTGGCTGTTGTGGATGACGCCATGACAAAGCAAGGGCAGTTGTGACTGACCTGGCTCATGGAAGTGTCAGCCTCATTGCCAACAAAAAAAGGCTTTTTTACACAAGGAGAGATTTTAGAGAGCAGAGCCCAGTGGGAGGTGAGGGTATTCTGAATCAACTGACTGCAGAATCTGGAGCTGGACCAGGAGCTAAAAGGAGCCATGGAAGCGTTTGTTCCCCTAGAAAGAAAGGTGGAGAACTGAACTCCTTTACTTTACCTGGTCTGTTGCCTCTAGGACGGACCCCAGGAGGCCCCTCCGTGGGCTTGGCCGGGTGCCCTGGATGGGCGGGGTCAGGTGGGACAGGAACGGGGTGGCCAGCCTTCGCAGCTGTCCTCCTGGTCTTCCTCTGAGCAAACGGTTTTGCTGCTTTCTTTAATTAGACGATGAACACTCTATAATATCTTGTGCTGTCGAACTGCCGTGGCTGCCAAGCCAGAGCTAAATTTACGGCTCAATTTCAGGGGAAAAAAAATTCATTGCAGCCTCCGAGTCTGTCTCCCTTGCCGATTGCTTTCCGACCTCTATATCTTTATCCTGAATATCATCTCTTATTTCTTTCCTCCTAAACTTATTTTTTTCTTTGTTACCTATAATTGCTTTCTGAAAGAGGCCGAAAATAAATAATAAGCAAGCAAATACTTCCTAGGAAGAAGAAAGTATTCACCAAGTGTTTGAACATGGCAAACTTTTTCCTGGCACTGAATTCCAGGAGAACATTATTTATACACCCTTATGTGCCCGAGAAAAGTTGGGCATCATAATGGAAAATATCTTTAACTGTAATTGTATTAATGAGGCATAATTATTCTCCATATGGCCCTGCCTTACGCCTGCGGTTGATTAACCCTGAGGGCATGCATTAATTCTCTGGAGTGATCTGAATTTCTTGGTTATCACCTGACTAGGCTCTTTCTTGAGTACCACCAGAGAAAACTCATAAGGCTGCACAGGCTCACTCAAGATGTGAAAACAAAGAAAAGAATCAGGCGTCGAAGGTCGGAAAACAAGGGTATTAATAAACTTGTTTACCTGGGAGCCTTCCACCTGTAGCCAGCTTCAGATTTGGCACCTGGGGATGGAGAGAATGAATCTGTGGAAAGAGAGAGCTGCAGGGCTGTAAATAACAGTACCTGAGAAGGAAAGGGAACGGTTATTTTTGGTGAATCCACATGGCAGATGGACATTTCATTTTGACGGTGCACGGACTGTGATCCGGTTTCTGAGCAGAATAATGCTGGAGGCTCCCGAGGGATAACTTGGATGTTTCTTAGTGCTCCTAAGGCAATTGCAACTTGCAAAAGGCTTCCTCATCTCCCAGAGAAACTTCTAGGCATGGAGGGTAAGCAGCCTCCCTCCCTCCGTGCTGCTAAGACTTCTGTTAAACCAGGATAGGGAGGAGTCTTCTCAAGCTTGGGGTTGACATATAGGGTCCCTTCCTTGGCTCCTAAATGGGCATACCCCAATGTTATGAATTCGGGGACATTTCCAGGTACTTCGCAACTTTAGGGAAGATGTCCCTGAAAGCTAGAGATACTTGCAAAGTACCTTTGTGCCGGGTGGTGGCACAAAACCAGGAATGGGTAACATGAGGGGATATCCCGAAACAATGCAAAATTTTTTTTTAAAAAAAAAAAAAAAAGACTGACCTTTGAGCACCGAAAAAGAGGTGACTTAGGACAGGTAACCCAGAAGATAATTAGAGGGATTTCAGGACTCAGGGGACTAAGCATATTTATGGCCGTGAGTTGGTTTAGTCTTTTAGCAAATACTTGAGTTTTTCTACCTCAGTTTTCTCATTAGCAGAATGGCGATAATGACCAAAAAAAAAAAAAAAAAAATCTGCTGACATTTTGAAAAGGGGAGGAAGAGTAGAGGAAGGAAGGGAAAAATTTTAAAAAGATAGTTGTTAAAGTGACCTTGCAATGTTGGGATGACCTGGCTATATTTCTGACACATTGGCTATTTGCATCCCAAGCAATTATCGTAAAGCACACATAGGCATACCTTGGAGATATTGCAGGTTCGGTTGCAGATGACAACATAGAGTGAGTATCTCAGGAAAGCGAGTTATAATCTTTTTGCTGGTGGAGGGTCTTGCCTTCAAGCTGTAAAAATGAAGTGAACCTCAATAGAATGAGGCGAGCCTGTATTCAACATAAGGCATAGCGAGTGTTGGTGTTCTGTTTAATGTTGGCCTCCATTTATTATAAGACTATGTTGACAGGTCACGAGTCACCTGTCTTAGTGGCCTCTGAAGGCCTCAAGAAGCCAGTGAACAGGAAGTAGGCTGGTGAGCTTTGCTGCTGGAGGAGACAGGAGTTAGAATTCCTTGTTTAAGTGGGCGAGGCTTAGGGAAGTGTTGGCTGGAGGCCTGGGGTCAAGACCAGGGAGCTTCCCTGGCATTTCCTTCGTCGACCTGCAGGAACCCAGATGGAGTCAGTGGAGGCCGAATGAGGTAGAGAAATGTCTAGGACTTATGCGTGGATGGTGGCTATGATCACAATAGCTACCGTTTTGGGAGTACTGTGTCAGGTACCGAGCTAAGTGTTGTTTATGTTCACTCCTTCATCTAATCATCATTCAGGGAGGCAGGCACTATTAGTGTACCCATTCTACAGATGCGGCAGCTGAGACTCAGAGGCTGAATACTTTCCCCAAAGCAATGCAAGCCAGTTAAGAGAGGTCTTTAAACCAGGACTTTCTGACTCCATAGCCCATGCTTTATATCCCTCTAAGCCTCTTGCACTGGGATGGGATATGAGAAAGGTTCTGGTGCGTGTGTCTGTGAATGTGGGCCCGTTTGTTTGGGGCCGTTCGCTGAGTCTGCTCTCACCCCCTCCCTCTGTCTCCTAGGAAATGAATATCCAAGAGCTCACCAACTACAGGAAGAGAGTCATGTCCTTGGCCGAGGCGGGGAAGCTCTACCGCAAGGACCTGGAGATTGTCCTCTGCAGCGAGCCCCCCATGTAAAGGGGAGGGCAGAGGCTGCTTCTCCACTTCCCCCAAACCCTGCCCCTTGCTGCCCTGGTACTTCTATCCAGACCCGGAGATCACGAGCTCTCCTCCCCCCGCCCCTGCAACCTGCACACACTAGCCCGCAGAGCAGGAAAGGAGAGATGGAGGATGGGCTGCTGACTGGCCTCCTGAAGCTTCCCCCCAACCCAACCCTGACCTGACCAGACATACGGCTCTGCCTCAGTGGGGCACCAACCAACTGCGTGGAAGGTGGGCAGGGCGTGAGTGAAGGTTCCCCGACTCTTCGCTGTGATGCATGAGCTCATTCACTGTATGATTTAGGCTTCTATGTCCAACAGAGCGAACCCTTCCCTCTCGCTCCCCTCCGCCCGTCCCCCATGCCAGCGCCCACCCCCAAGTTCCACCCGCCGCCTTGCTAACGGCGTAGCTGTCTTCTCAGAGTTCCTGTTGGTGGAGGGCACCTGCCCCTTCCTTGTCTTCTTGACTCAGCGTGCTCCTTTCCTCTTAGGGTTTCTTGTCTTCTTGTTTACCAAAGAACAGTTTACAGACAATAAAATGGAAGTGTTCTGCTGTGGAAGCTGGCCCTGTTCTGGTTGCGTGGTCCACTTCTCTCTGCAGCTAGCAGCTCTTCTTGGCAAAGAGAGCCTGTTCCCACGGGGATGAGGAAGGGTGTTGGGACCCCCAAAATGGGGCATAACCATTAGAAACAGGGGCGTAAGACCCCGGGACTCTGGGCTTTCACTCAAGAATCGCTGCCTGTCTCTTCATCAGCCTGTCACTGCTTTACTCCATGTTTGTTTCTATAGCTCGAGATTATAACAACGGCTATTAGTTCATTGAAAGCTTACTAAGTGCCAGGTGTTATGGAAACTGAAGATGACAAGCCCAGAAGACAAGCCACACATCTCATGGCCAGTTGGGACCAGAACCAGGGTGCAAATCCCGCAGATTGGATCCACATTCTTTCTAGAAGGGATTCCAATGGGCTGTGGCAACAGTGGAACTAAATGATCTCCAACACGCGGGGGGGCCTCCAGCCAGGAGTTCTAGACCATCACAAGCTCAACTTCTCCTCCTCAAAGTGCACTTGGCCCCCCGACAACTCATCCGAAGCCCTTTGGTGTAGGACTAGCTTGGCCTTTGGGGCCACAGAGCTCTTTGAGATACCAGAGTAGAGAGAGAACTGGTTTTTTAATGCTATCGTTTATTGACTATCTACGGGATGCATTTTGACTTTTCCTCATTTAATCCCACAACAGTCCTGTGAGATAAGTACGATTTTCAGATGAAGAAACTAAAATTCAAAGACATTAAATAACTCGTTCGAGGTGATACGACTCCTAAGAGGCAGAGCTAGGACTCAAACACAGGCTGCTCTGACTCCAAGGTCACCTTGGGCAATGTCCCTATCTATCTGATATCCAGGATCCCCCCTGGGGCAATAGGCCACCAAGGGGTGGATATTCCTGGATCAAATATGAGCCTCATTGCTTTCCCAGCCACACCCCTTTCTGAGAGAAGCCACCCTGTTCACAGCCTGGATAGTATAGCCCAGTGAGCCACCGTCTGACCTCTGTCACCTGCCCACAGCTGACTGGGCCAAGAGTGGCTATCTGGTCCGAGCTGGGCCAGAATCTCAGGCTGAAATCCAGGGCCGTCAGTCAGAATATGCGGCACTGAAGCTAGGTAATAATACAGCTTTTGGGAATTAGAGGTGGCATCGTGGCGATCCAAAACCAAGCCTGAACTGATCCTGGGAGGAGTAGAAACCGAGATCTGGGAGAAGGAGCCTGTCAGAGAGTAGTTGGGGCAGTATGCAGAGAAAAATAGAAGAAGAGAGGGAGGAAGGACAGAGACAGAGAGAAAGGGAGAAAGAAACAGAATAAGAGAAACAATGAGAGACGGAAACAAACAGAGAAGGAAAGGGGGAGGGGAGCCCTCTCACTGCTCCTGTGAGGCCCTGCTGCGCTCCCTAATACAGACCCCTGCCATCCCTGTGTAGCCTGCAAGGGCAGCTCCTTGCACCCCACTAAGCTCAGCCCCTCTGCCGTCCCTGGTTCTAGGCCAGCAACCCCCAAGTGAGGCGCTGTAGCCCAGTCTGTGGTTTCACACCTGCCCTCCCGGACACCCGCTGCTGTCTGTGCTTCCCCTCAAAGTGTTTGAGGTGAGACGGGATAGAGCGGTTGCCAGGGTTTGGGGTCCACAGTGGGGCAAAGCTGGGTCTTTTTCTGCCTAGTCCTGGCTCCTGGAGCTGGGTTTGCCCTTTCTCCCAGGCATGCCTGCTGCTCAGCGGAATGGGAAGGAAGCTTGTGCCCTCAAGAGGACTTAGTCTTAATAAGCCATGTGGATCATTCTGAACGTAGAAAAGAGACGTCACGGCCGTCACGATGCCAACGCTAGTGCTGTCTCAATCCTCTCCTGTGTTTGGAGACCACGCCGGGTGAACAGGGGTTGAGACAAGGAACACGGGTTGCATCTGGGATTCATTTTAACCGTTTCTTTCTTGCCTGTGAAAAGAGCTCCAAACACAATCCTTAGGGGGAAGATCCCAGCCCAGCTCGGGCCCTTGAACGGAATTTCCCATTCCACATAGAGGCCTGGGACCTGAGGCCAGAGTCAAGGATAGAGCAGCCTCTGTTCAGGTACAGAGATTTCAACCTTAAAGGCAATTGTCTCCAGGAACATTCTGTATTCGCACAATCCCCTTTGGAAAGATTACCGAAAGCTGGGCACACGGCCATCAAACCGTTTTAGAGGGGGCACCCGCTTCCTGCCCTGGTCTCGCAGGTCCACCCCAGGAGTAGCCCTGCCCCGCTGAGAGGCACAGAGCTTCTCCAGCACCTTTCTCTGGGCTCTAGTTTTTCCGTCGACCGCCCCAGCTTCCAACACAAAAGTCAGCAGAGAAGGTCTATTAAAAGAACAGAAAAGGGACGTCGAGTCTGCTTGTAAGCCCTGATGAGGAGGGCAGTGCTCAGACCCTTCACTCGATACACCGGAATCGTTACCTCTCAAGGTCAAGATGAGGTGTTCCTAGGGGAGGCTGGTCAAATCCATAAGAGGCCCGGTCACTGGAGGAACTTTCAAGGGTTTAGGTCACGGAAAATGCTCATTATGAAGATCTTTTCCTAACGACTACTTTCTACAGCACGTTGCACAGGAGGACGGCAAGAAGACAGGAAGGACAGGTCCGGCGGCACTGAACGGGCACAGCCCTGGCCACTCAGGCAACCTTTGGCGTACTCTGGCACCCTTGAACATGTGGCCAACAGACCCCCGTGGCCGCGGTAACAAAGGAATCCCTCCCTGGCTTCCCAACGTTTGGCTGGGGTGCCGCTCCCGTGGGCACTTGGTTTTTGCTCTATTGTCTTCATTCAATAAGAAATACTAATTGAGTATCTTCGTGAAGTGTATACGCCAAGGCGAAAGACAGACAATAAACGGATAAAAATATTCTTAATGCAGTGATGTGCGCTCTAAAGAGAAGTTCAACAAGGGACGGAAAGCGGGGAGGTGCTATTTCAGGTTCTCTGAAAAGGCGATATTCGAGCAGAGCCATGAACTAAGGGAATGAACCTTCGTGCCGCCTTGGGGAAGAGTCTAGATGGAGGAAACAGCAAGTGCAAAGGCCCTGAGGTGGATGAGTTCCTGGCAATCTTAGCAAGAAGGTCCCTGGGGCTGGAGCAGAAGGATGGAAGGGGAACAGAAGGTGAGGTTGGGGAGATGGGTGAGGCCAAGTCATGTGGTGCCTTGGAGGCCATGATAAAAAAAGAACTTCAGATCTCATTGTGCCGAGGGAAGCCACTGAGGCGGCGACGTCAAAGAATTGACACGATTTGTGTTAAAGGTCACACTGGCACCTGTGTGGACATCGAACTATAGGAGGCGAGAGAGAAAGCAGAGAGACCAGGTAGGGGGCTGATGCTCTAGTGCGGTTGAGAGATGCCGATGGCGTGGACCGAGGAGGTGGTGGGGCGGGGATGTCAGCATCAGATTCCAGACCGATTGCTAAGATTGAGTCCAAAGGGCTTACTAAAGACTGGAGAAGTGACATGAAGGAAAGGCAGGAGCCGGAAGTGACTCCAAGGCTGGTAGCTTGGGCAACTGGCAGTGTAGCGGGTGCCAGTGACCAAGCCCGGAAGCCCGGGAGAGGAGCAGGATCGGGCAGGGGGTAGGAAGAATTAGGATTTTGGACATGCTGCCTGGTATTCGGTGTCTCTGTTGGGATACCAACAGAAAACAGATGGGATGTTCCCTTTGTTGGTGTTCAACAAATATCTGTGAGATAAACAAATGCTAGGTACTGGGTACACACAGAAGCCAATACGACGGTCCCTGGCCTCCGAGAGCGTAAAGGCTCCTGGACCTGAGAGATGGAACCACTAGAAACTCAGCTAGTAAGTGGTGGGTCAGAAAAAAAAAAAGGAGGAAAGAGGCCCCTGACCTAGATTAGGGGCGGTGGGAAATTCCTGGATGAGAATTCCTGGCAGGAGGAAAAAGAAATATTTGCGTATACAGAGGCAGC